CTCAAAGCCAAGAGAGAGCCTGGTTTCTCCCCTCTGACAACAAACGGAGGAGGACGAGGAGAAGTTTATTTCGGCGATGACCTGAGCACTCTTTGTGAAGGTGGTGCATGTCCATTTTCACCCCGCCAAGTCTATTGTGCTCATTCTTGACTGTGTTCCAGGGAAAGATCTGAAGATATACTCGCCTATTATTGTTTCTATAACCTCTCTCTACTGTATCCACTGACGAACATGAAATGTACGACGAGCTGCTAATAAGGCAAAATTGCAAGCAGACAAAGAACCAGTCCTGAAATGACATTAGCGAGCTGACGAGGAATCCAAACAGCTCTGTGTGGACATGAGGACGACGTGTTCAAGCTCCGGTGGAGATCTCAGCCTTACGGAAAAGACTGCAAGATTTGGGTGTCTCCGTAATTAGGTGACAGCTGTCCAGACACCCACAGGCAGCCAGGAGAGAGAGAAATAGAGGACATCTTCAGGGACGAACTCATTTAAGAACTTTCATGCCTTTCGTAAATTCAACATCTAGACCTCCACCCTCAATCATAACCCCAACTGTAAGCTCCGTTCCAAAATGTCGTTTCACTCCGTTCCACAAGTGAGTGAACTGGAAAGCTCTAGACACACAGCAACTCCAATTTTTTTTTTTTTTTCCACTGACCACAATGCATTCTGGGATTGCCTTAGACATTGGTTAGGAAAGCAGCAATACTATACTTAATTATAATTCACTGAAAATAAATAATTTATTCCAAGTGCATTATTATTATTAAAATTAAACTAGAAATAAAATGTGTTGTAAAAAGTGATATAATTTAACTTACATTTATTATTATTATTTCTAGTTTTTTTCTAATTAATATAAAAATGCTGTTTTAAATGTTTTGTAAAAAGGTGAAAAAATTTAATTGTTTATTCTTATTATTATATTTATTATTTTTCTCATTTCTAATGTATTATTACTATTTTTTTTATTGTTATTAAAACAAAAATGCTGCAAAATACTATTTTAAATGTTTTGTTTTAAAGTGTGAAAGAATTTAACTTACATTAATAACCATGTAATAATAATAATGACAGTGAAAGTACATCTAACTTCTAAAGATTAACCTGTGAGCCTTAGATGACAATAAAGGTAAAAATGACAACAACTCATTATCCGATATCTGCTGATATCCAATATGGACTAATAAAAAAAAAATCTTAAATGTCACCTGATAACACATAAGGTACTAATTTGGAGCAAATAATCATGCCGGTATCCTTTTGAAACTGTTTTGCGTGTCAAGAGCGCATCTATGCTGCCTTAAAATGCTCTCTAGCTAGGCAGCCTGCTAGGTTTAATAAGGGCACTATAATGAGCACCATAAAGCCCACCCCAACCCTCAGCTGAGCCCACTGTGGACATTCACCTCTCTTTATTGTCAGCATTCTCATCACACGGGTGAGAGTGGTACTCATCCAGCCAATCCCACTTGATGAGCTCTCCATTTTAAAACCCAATTGGCAGCCAGGGAGACAAATTGCCGTCACAGTACAAGGACATCGGTGTGACTCTGGGTTGTAAAGACGGACTGCAGACAGCCACGGCCAGCTCGCAGAGGGCCTGAGTATTGATCTCATGTGTGTATAATCTCCCGGCTGGATCCATAAGCTGCCTTTGTGTAGCAAATATCCGCAAAGCTACAGGGAGCCTGGACACGAGAACGCCACTCAAAGGCCTGATCGATTCAGCTGCTTTACTCTTCCTTCCATCTGAGCGGCCCTGCCTGCAATACCAATGGCTCTCCATCTCTCTCTCCCCATCCATATCACAATCTGCTCACTCCTCTTTTCCATTCCTTCCTTCCTTCCTTACCTTACTCAAGCACACTCCATCTCTCCAACGACAAGACTATGTGCCTTATTTGCTTTTTTCAGACAACCTAATAAATGCATGTCAAGCTTGCTATAAAAACGGTTGCGGGCAAAAAAGTATGAGGGTGATCTCCGTGTAGGCTTTTAATATTACTTCCTCTTATCTAGTGTCATACGTGCACACGGCCGCCTCTCTCGAGCCACAAAAGCAATTATTGTCTTGTTTCAGTTCTCTACTTTGATTACACTCTCTCTTTTTCTGTTGGCTTCTTGCCATTTTTAATACCCACTCCAAGGGTGGCCGGTTTTACATATTGTGTGTCACTAGACAAATATAAAAGGATTTAACATTTAGTAGAGTTTAATCCAGCACAGGCTTTGTGTCTACTTAAGCCTCCCGATTCAAATCAGATTTTTTTAAATTAACTGTAAAAATATTTATATTTTTTATTTAGTAATAATAATAATAATAATAATAACAACAATAATAAAAATAATAATATAGTTTTAGTATTACATTTTTGTCCCAAAAATAAATAAATAAAATAATCAGGGGGAAGGAGGGAGAAAACACAAATATATATATATATATATATATATATATACACAGTGGGTACGGAAAGTATACAGACCCCCTTAAATTTTTCACTCTTTGTTATATTTCAGCCATTTGCTAAAATCATTTAAGTTAATTTTTTTTCCTCATTAATGTACACACAGCACCCCATATTGACAGAAAAACACAGAATCGTTGACATTTTTGCAGATTTATTAAAAAAGAAAAACTGAAATATCACATGGTC